CATCCACACCATTCTGCTCCACAGCTCCTTTCACTCACAGATAATTAAAGTCCTGTGGGAGTTCCCAGAAGGACTGCATCCGTAAGTCCAGCATTCCTCCTGAGCCGCAGAAACACAGGGCGGGAGAGAGGGAAGCCTGAATATAAATTCGGCCTCCCAGACAGGCGAGCGCACTTTCAGACGGGAGCCATTTTTCACTGCTCCAGTCATTTGGCACTTCCCATAGGATGTTAGAAGAAGAGTGGAGAAAACGAAGCCTGGGGTCAGTCAGGCAGCAAGGCAAAGGGCCATCGTCATCTCCTAATATAATTATCCAATCATTATGATTGGTGATGTGCCCGAGTTATTTTAGGCCTAGAGAAGCCTGTGTGTGGATGGAACTTGAAACTCCAGAGAAACTCTCTGCCCTGCAGACTGTGTGATATGAAGGAAGCAGAGCATGACGGCCTCTGTCTGTATTGCGCTTGCTAATGCTGGGGGTTTGTCAGTCTGGAGCAGTGGAGTAAGACATTGGGCTGTACTGAGAGGTATATGTATTCAGCGGGAGGGTGAAGGAAGGGGTGATAAACATATGAGGGACACTGGTTTCATTAATTTCAAGGTCTGATGGACAAAACAAGTCAACATTGAGCAAACAAGGAGTTCATCCCTTTAGCACTATTTTCACCATCCCTCATCTCCAAAGATATTACACTTAAGTCAAAGTATTAAAATTGTATTCAAAATGAAAAAGGTTACCTAATAAATTATTTAATATTCAACAGGATGGGGTTGCCATTTTTAATTTTTTTTCAAGACATCTCTTCTTCTGACCAAGGCTGAATTTTTTGATCTGTAAAAACAGAAATATTGTGAAATATAATAAAATTTTAAAATATCTGTTTTATATTTTAATGTATATTAAAATGTAATTTATTCCATTAATGGCTAAACAGTAATATTTTCTGTAAAGCTGCTTTGCAACGATTGGTATCGTGAAAAGCGCTATGCAAATAAACTTGAATTGAATTGAATTGAATTAAGCTGAATTTTCAGCAGCCATTATTCCAGTCTTCAGTGTTACACGATCCTTCTTGTTATTATCAAATTTGAAAACACTTGTGCTTCTTCTTGCTTTTGTGGAAACCGTAAAACGTTTTCTTTAGGATTCTTTGATGAATCAAAAAAGTTCAATAGAACAGCATTTGTTCGAAATAAAAATCGTTTGTAACATTATAAATGTCTTTACTGCACTTTTGATCCAGTTAATGCATCCTAGCTGAATATAATAATTCATTTCTTCCAAGAAGTAAAAACCTGACCCCAAATTTTTAAATAGATTATAAAGAAGTATTGTATTTTATCTTTCTTAGCTTTTGAAACTGACTTTTAAAAATCTTTCTAATGGCAGCCTTTCTAACATTTCTAAAGAAACACATTACAGATGTCAAGATGAAACCTGTTATGCAAAATTTTTTAACTTTAAATTGCAGCAGCTGATTTTGTAGTTGACGCCTGAGTTTAGCTGTTTACAGACTGATCATTGACTGTAACCAGGTCATCCATCTTCAGCAATGCCTGTAATTAAAACCTGTAGCTTGAGGTCAAAGACTGTGTTGTGGAGACTGATGAGACGTCACTTCACAAAGACAAATGAGCATAGCTGTGTCCAAATACAGTTTACATTGAAATGGGTGTGATTGGCTGTAAATGTTCAGCCAGTAGTGAAGTTTGATTGGTTTGTGAGTTCAGAAAAGTTAAGATTTTTTGTCATGATGGCCTGCAAAATATTCTATGTACAATGAAGGTCTACATTGAATTGTAAAGAGTAAAAAGTATAAATTAATCAGGAAAAGCTAAGTGAATACAATTATTTAATTTCAACAGTACTCAAGTCCAAATTCCACAATACAATTCCTAAGTATGATAATGAAGTACAGTTACTCAAATACTTCATATCCCTGCTCATCTCCTCTCTTAATAGACCATCTCACAGACTCATCAGTAGTGAGAAAGTCTCTGTCGATATCTGGGTGTCCTCTGTGTGGTGGTTTTGTTTTTTTATTTTCCTGCCCGATTATGGTTGAGATTAGATCAGATTACAAAATCTACCATCAAACATAATGGTGAACAAAACAAAGCTGTTTACATTCAGTGTGGTGTCTGTTCATCTGAATGTACTTCTTTTTTTATTCTCCTCACTGTGTGAAATGTGTAAAAAAAATATTAAAACAAATTAGGTCAATGTCTGGTTACTGGGAACACATTTGTAATTTCTGAGACAAGCTGAGAGAGCAACGCGAGACTGGTGCAATGACAAGGTCCTCATCCCGTGGCAGAGTAAGTACAGGAGTTTTGGGAGACTTGCTCTATTTTGGTAGACATTGAAGTATTATATGTGATTGTTTTTTTAGCTGTCACGTTGGGTAAATGTGTATACAGATCTCAAGACATCTTACAGCTAAACAAATCTCCCTATAAATAGCATATCAAAATATCATAGCACTATAAAAGGAAACATACACATTATTCTGCCAAGACAGAGGAAAGCATTGTCTGATTCGCAAAACAAACTGTACAAAATATCTAATAAGACAGAGGCAGCATACAAGCTAAATTAATGTCATGGATGTGCACACGGGTTAAGGGAGATTACTTTGAAATTAAAGAGCTTAGGTTTTTATATACTACTGCTGATTGCGCCAAAGCATCTAGTGTGATCCATCAAAGGATATTTATGAATTGTTGATGTAGAATGATTCCTTTGATTGACAGTTGTAATTGTATTGTAAAAGTGCTCAAAAGTGCAGCCATGACATTGTATAACATTGTATGATCTCATTATATGACATAATTTACAATTTTGTTTTTTTACATAATTCACAAATGCAACTTTGTGAAAACGTATATACATACTGTACACTACCGTTCAATAACTTGAGCTTAAAATGTTTTTAAAAGAAGTCTCTTATGCTCACCAAGGCTGTATTTATTTGATCAAAAGTACAGTAAAAACAGTAATATTGTTAAGTGTTATTAGAATTTATAAAGACTTATGTTTTAATATATTTTAGAATGTAATTTATTACTGTCTTCAGTCTTCAAGGTCATATGATCCTTTAGAAATCAATCTAATAGGCTGATTTGCTGATTATTACTGTTATTCGTGTTAAAAAACAGTTGTGCTGCTTGATATGTTTGTGAAAACCATGCTACTTTTTTTTCAATGTGAATGTCTTTACTGTCATTTTTGATCAATTTAATGACCCCAACATTTTGAAGGATAGTATATGCTTTAATGAATGAGATGCAATACATCATGAAATCCCTTGGGATCCTTCTTGTGTATATAATTAATTTGTGTATGTGCCAGACGCCAGAGAGCTGTCTAGGCCACTGAGATACAGGCAGATACAAGCAGGGAAGAAGAGAGAGAATAGAGAGCTGCTGACCTGAATAAGGTTACACAAGTTGATGACACACCAGGCACATCTGAGCAGATGTCTGTCTCATCACCTCTGTCCCAGTCCTAGACACTGGATTACACAAGCTTGTTTCTAGGGTCACTAGACTTCACAAGAGCTAGATAAATAAATAAATGCATACATGACATCAAGTTTGATGACTAAGGGAATTTATTTTTTACATTGGACAGAAGCCTGCCACTTAAATTTGAATGCAGACTTGTTATGATTAAAGGTCCAGCATTTAGAAAGCACTGATTTATTCAGTTCGTGAAATAAACATACAGAAACTTTTCGCCCCACAAACTGTGTCAGAGTACAATAAAGTGGTGTGCTTCATGACAATATGTTGACTGTTTTCTCTGAAAATGCTTTTGGAGCCTTTTATTTACAGGATTTCTCTCTCTCTCTCTCTCTCTCTATAGAGAGAGAGAGAGAGAGCAGTATAAATGTATTGAAGAGATTTCAAGAGCCTTTGTTTTTCCATAAATATTGCAGTTAGTGCAAAGAGCATTAGGCAGCTTTGTGTTCTTGGATATCCTGCTCACTGGATCAGCGATATTGAACTGTGTCTCAAACGCAAGCAATGCAAGGATCATAATTTGTTTTATAGGTGTGGCATAAGGTTACCACACTGGACTTATTTAACACAGAAGTCACAGGATTGAGATGTAAAATAGTGATCAAAATCTGATTCCCTGTCAGTTGGACACTCTTGGCGCATTCAATTAAAAAATAAAAATAAGAATACAAAAAAAAAATATATATATATATATATATATATATATAATGAATAAATAAACGTAGGAACAGACAAGTAGGACAGACAAAATGGTGAGATTATGTACAGTTGTGCTCAAAATTATTCATACCCTTGATAAATATGATCAAAGAAGGCTGTGAAAATAAATCCACATTGTTTATCCACTTGATCTTTCATTAAAAAAAAATAATAATAAAATAAAAACTTAAAAAAAAAGTGAAAGTGGGGGAAAATCACATTATGAAATACATATTTTTCTCTAATACAATAAGAGGACGTGTGTCTATATCATCCTAATGCATGGTGAGGAGGAGAGTTTGAGTGGCCAAAGACTCCAAGGATCACAGCTGGAGAACTGCAGAAAATAGTTTCTGCCTCAGGCATTATAGGTGAAGACTCAGAGCTGTTCTCTTGGCAAAAGGAGGTTGCAAAAAGTATTGGATAAAAGGGTATGATTAATTGTGACCAATGTGTATTAGAGAAAAACATTTATTTCATAATGAGATTTCTCTCCCATTTTAAATTCTTATTCTGCAATGAAAGGTTACATTTTAGTACATTTTTAAAGTAAAATATCTAAAGGATTGATGATACAGATTAATTTTCACAGCCTCCTTTGATCATATTTACCAAGGGTATGAATAATTTTGAGCACAACTGTATGTATCAGGGGTGTTTAATCCTGAAGACCTCGATCAGCTGGTTTAGGTGTGTTTAATTAGGGTTTGAGTTTAATTCTGCTGGAAGGTGGGCCTCCAGGAGCAGGATCGGACACTCCTGAGATCATATCTAATCATTATGTTTTGGCTACTAGCAACTGGCCAAAGAGCAAGAGCGAGTTAGTCAAACGGTGAGAGCAGAAGTGGATACGAGGAGACGCAGGGCTGAGATCGAAGATTCTACATTTCAAAACTTCATTCAGGCAAATGCAGATGTCAGCCAGACAAACAAGAAGGTATGTCTCACTACAATTTTCATGGAGTGCATATGATTATCTTTGTCAGACATCTTACTCCACCCTGCTCCTGTTTCCTTTCTGTATTTCCTTTCGTTTTGCTTAACAGACTTGTGTGTTGCAGTTGAGTAAAGTTTGGATGAGACTAATTTTGAAAGTTGAAACTATTTTAGAGGCTGGAAGAGTCTCTGGCAGAGGTGGGACAGATGGAAGTGGATGCTGATTGGCAAGCCGAGGTGATCAAGCGACTGGAAAACGCAAAGGAGAGACAGGAGAAGCAAAGAGAGCGACTTGTGAACCTCAGCAAACAAACACGTTCTAAAGAGGAAGAAGTAGTTCAGCTAATGCTGGAAGTGGAGGGAAAGCAGGTGAGAATTCACATGTTAAAGGCGCGGTCACATGATACAATATGAAACACAATATGTCCATTGCATATTGTCAGTATGGTGGTGATGTATGTAGCATAGCTGAAACAGAAGTCACTCTCAAACCAAGCAGCTTTCTGTTGGTCATCGTGGTGCATCCACGTGACCAAATTAAACCTGTTGTGAAACTTTCACCCTCACACAAAATTCCCAATGACAATGGTAAATGTGACTGCACCTTTAGTGTGTTGTTTGCTGTATCAGGTAGACAAATTTCATTAAAAATATAATTTCCTTTCAATACAACATGCAAAAGACCAATGACATTGTTTCGGTCCCAGTGGGATGATGTAGTAGCTAAGCAAGCTAAACTGGAGGAGGAAAGACGGGTGGCCGCCACTGTTAACGCCCAGCGGAGGTCACTTATCTCTCAGGAAACAGAAGAGACTGAGAAACATGACAAGCTGCAAAAGAGTCTAGAGGATTCATTGAGTGAGTTAAGACAAACTCTTCTCACATAACGTAATAAAGGATTTGATTGAAACATGAGTACAGTTTTAAAATTACTTCCTTGTGAGGATACAATCAGTTGAAAAAGTCTATTAAACTTTACATGCTAACAAGAGGTAATCAAGTTATTTGTGTGTGTCTGTGTGTGTTTGTAGATCATCCAAAGAGACTCAGATCTCCCTGCTCTTCGAGAGGCCTGCTGCACAAGACCCAGAGTGAGACCACCAACATTTCCTTGATCAATCAGTCAGGCGATTCTACTGGCTGTGAGTATTATTAGTATAAACATTGAGTTTTATTGTCATAACCAAACATGATTTAATGAAGCAACAAGCGATAAGATGTGCACTGCTGCTTTATAGTTTCTTTAGATCGTGGCAGAGGGGAGCTTGACTCTAAGGAAAGGGAGTTGATGCAGGAAATCAGAGAACTGAGGACGAAATTAGCTGCCAGAGCCAGAGCGACTGACTTCGTCTCGCCCTCAACAAGCTCTGTACACTCTCACTGACAACACGGTCACCGCCAACCAGTGTGTGTGGAACCAGGCACACGTTAAAGAGGATCTGAAAGAAAATCATTTTAGATCATATGAGAAGCATGCTCAGTTTATATTTGCTTTACAACGACGCTAAACTGGACATTATTCATTGATTTCAGATTTATTCTGATGATAGTTTTAATATTTTGTAAATGTATTTTATTATTTGTATTTTTTTTAAAATCTTTTTCATGTTTTTGTATTTAAAAATGTGTCAATAAATTTTAATAAAAAATATGAAATATAATTTAACAGTTTGAACTACTTTTTTTTACTTTTCATTACATTTAAATATTCAATTTAATTACAATTTATTTTTTTATTTAATGTATTCCTGTAATGGAAAAGCAGATTTTAATGTTTTTAAAAGAATTCTATTATGCCCATCAAGGTTGCGTTTATTTGAAAAAAAAATGCAGCAAAATATATTGAAATATTAATACAATTCAAAATAATTTGATGTAGTTTAATATAATTATATATTTTAAACTGTGATTTATTCCTGTGAGGGTAACGCTACTGTTTTTTTTTT